CAAACGTCTGTAATTAGTTTAGTTGACATTTGTGAATTTTATTATTGCCAGAAAGAGGAGCGGAGAACTTTTAACCATAGGGAGGTTGGTGTTTTCCAGAACTTCGCGATGTTTGATGTTTTTTGTACCTATGTTTTACGTTGCAGTATCATCAGCCACTGTTTATGTATTTTAAGCCTGTAGTTGTTACCGTGTTTTCCGAAGACAGCATATAGAGCTAAAGGATCAGTGCGGCTTATAGTCTTATGTTGACTTCCCCTTTCGGAATAAAGTGACTGGCTGAAGACTGCAGATGCAGCTAAGAATGTCCTAGAACTAGTGTCTCTACTTCAGCTTATGTTCTGATGAAGCTCAAACGCTGGCATTAGATCAGGAACGTTGGAGACGCTATCCAACACGCCAGCCTCCGTGACCCGCAACATTTAGCGGTAACTGAAACTGTCTGATTCACTGACATTCAACTGTTGGAAGTGCTAAACTCAGAGTTATGCAATCTGACTGATTTTTCTGCATTTCGCTTTTTCTTTCTTTATATTTTGAATGATTAACGCTAACTTTTAGGAAGTAAGCCTTAGCTTTATTTTAGAAAATAAGATATATATCCCCGGTAGCATATGGTGGCTGCCAAGATTGACAACATTTCGATTCCGCCGCCGGCAAATATTATCCTGCAACTATACAGCTAAAACTGTAAAGTGAAGTCGTGAAGTCATGTCAGTTACAGCAGTACTGTGGTAGTTTAAAATGGATGGCAGTCTTTACACTGAATTGTGCTGCAGCAGTGCTCAGTGCCTTGCTTCTAGTCGTTTGGAGGACAATTTAAGTTGGCCACGGTTACATGGTATTTAAGTGCCTGCAGAACGGACATTGTGTGTACTGCATGTTTGTGTTCGGCCGAACAAGAACGTGAGCAAGTCGATAACTACATTTGTTTTGGGTAGCCTCAAACTCGCTAGCGATGTTAAGATCACGGGTTCGAATCCTTACCGCGACAGTGGCTTCTCATCATGCGGAGGTAGATCAGCGAGTATTTCCACTTCGTCAGAAACATGCTAGTGGCCACGTGGCTTTCGATATTGCTTTAAAAACCAAGCGATCTTAGTGATCCTAGAAACCAGTGCCTTCCCCGTTTCGACCATGATATCTCTAAAAGAAGAATGCGGCAACTGGCCCCTGTCATGGAACTGTAAGAATACGCCACTCCGCATCGGTTTTTCCTCTTTTTTTGCTTAGTGTCAGCTAGTCCAAATATGTGTCACTCCATTGTCCTCTAAATGCGTCTTTACTGGAACTCTAAGTGATGCCCAGAAATAAAACTTTAACTCACATTCCTCTTTGTCGTTAACGAAAACCATTCAAAACGAGCAACCATGTTAAGGAAAGAGCTTTGCATCTTCCTTGTCTATCGTCTTACAGCTAGTTTCATAATTTTTCAAGTAATTAAGTTAATGATAATTTGTTCATGTTTTTAGTCCACTGACTCCAGGAAATGACCTCCCTTGATGATGCCATTATCACCTTTGGAGAAGAGGATGCTGCGACAAAAAGCAAGATTAAGTATGTTTCGTTTTTTATATTTTCTGTTTCAGCTTCGTAAGGCAAAATTGTCATTAGTCTGATGTTGCTAACAGACCAAAAAGGCGGCTTTCAAATCTACAGTTATTCAAGGAATATACAGAAATCTCTAGCGGTTTTTACTGTGACTTCAACACAGACCTTCGGAGTTGGTATAATTTGTTTATGTTACCGTCCAGAGAAACAATCCGCTCATGCATACATAAGCTGAAGCGGATTCACGATACACTGTTTCAGGTTTTTACCGGATTATTGCTAAGCTTTCTCCTATACCCAAGCCTCTGCGCTCTTTCCTGCGCATTATGTTTACACCGTCACTTAAGTGTGCCCTCAAACTTTGGCAGTAATGTGGTAAGATCAGATTATCGGTCTGGACTGAGTTGCGAGATAATTTTAGTCTAACCGCTATAAATGGATTACCACTTACACGACGACAGCCTATGCATAGACTATATAGTTCTGTACAGTTAATACTACTTTGTTTTCAAATGATTTCCTAGGCTGTCAGCTTCAACAAGCGGTGTTATTTGCCTTATGAACGCGAAGGAATGACAGTATTGTTGCGTTTTCCAAAGCAACGTGAAAACTACCACGCTAATAATTTATTTAGTGTTTCATCTCCTGATTCTGCGCGTTCCACTGTTATGCCATCTTCTTTGGAAATAGGCCTTATTCGTTTCATTTCGTTTCATTCGATGTTGGTTTCTTTCTGCAAAATTACAGCATTTGTTTCATCACGTCGTTTACAGCCACGTGTAGGATGTTGCTGCTTTCGTATTTATAACGTTTTCTATAGAAATTATCACCTCTTTTTATAATGAATTGCCTCTCCCTGATCACGGTCTCATCTTCTGATTTGAGAGCTAAAATTTGTCGTTGTCCTGTCGCAGATCTTTGACATCAATTCTTCATGCTTTAGCAAAGTTCGAGGTATTGCATTTTCGATTTCTCATCTATTATTGTCTTAATCTGTCTTATTTTTCGTAAGGAAAAATTTCGCGTGGGCATTTATAATCGATGTTGTTCTGAAACATTTCGAGATCTTTCGACCTGAATGATTACCTGGTCATCAGGATAGCACATTTTTGTGATTTCATTCTTCTTTAGTCGCGTTTCTTGGAGACATACGATCGGTGAGTTTAGGTTGTTCAAGGTTCTGATAACGGTTGCTTGCCTGTCTTCGCTTTCAAGGATTGAGACTTCACGATGGTAACATTTAGCTTTTTCGGCAATCGAAGCAAATTCTGCAGTCATCCTCCCACCACTGTGAAATAGTAAAATTTGGGAGGAGTTTCTCACCACTTTAACAGTGATATGAAGGACTGATTACTGGTTTATTGTGACGGTGGCTGCGTATGCTGTATGATGTGTTTTATCGATTAATTCAGCAATGAAACGTTATTCTTTGTACAAGGAATAATCAGTGTGGTGCATCAGTATGATAGAACGAGCAACCAGCCTACATACACAATTTTTTTAACCGATATTTGCCAGTTTCGTGACCGATCTTTAGTGGGAATAGTAGTTTATGGTTTATATTGTGAATATGCATTCGTCGCAGCGTACCTTCTGCTTCTTAATTGTTGCCGCCGTGTATGACTTTCTCAAGAAAAAAGCAAAGTTTGAATTACGGTAACCCTTCACTAAATACATAATTTAATCTGTATCCACGCTTCAAAGCCAGTTCCGATATTGATTTTTCATATTAAAAATTTCTGATGTTTACCTTTGTTTACTGTTTGCGATATTTAAGGTACTTTCATATGTCTCTCTGCTTACCTATAACAATGTTTCGTTATTAATGTTTAGGCACCCGATGGTTCTAGTTTGCCACTTCGCTTTTCGTTCGCTGGCACTCTTGTTATACATTATTGGAGGATGGATACTGGACGGTTTCGTTGTGACCTTTCTGCTGATAGTAAAACATGCTTTTGTTTATGTCTTCAACTGTCTAACTTTATGTTGTTTGCTCAGAATCGCGGTAATCAATATTGTTCATTTGAGGTAATTATTCTTTGTATAGGAAATGATTCAATCACTTTCGATGACCGCTTATCCTTTTTAGCCGCGGAGGCAGACGCATTAGATAGTGCGTCCAGCGTTCCCAATCCTGTGCCAGAGTTTGCGCTTCGGCAGAAGACAACCCGAGTATGGAGCAGAGTCCTTCCATACATTTTTTCCATGTTATTCTTGTCTATCTTTCTGATCTTCACTCGTAGTACCTGTTTCACCTTTCTTTCTGGATGCATTCGCAAGCTGTGACTTCTCAGCCCGGTGACGCACCGACTGTACACCAAAACTGTTTTGGATTATCTAAATTCTGGACCAGCGAGACCAGACGCCTGAACTCAACGATTTCTTTTTAAATTACAGTATTTGACTGCATCCCTGAGTAAGCCGCTCTTGAACAATTTCCATTTCCACTTGGTTTCCACATTGGTGTTCATCTCCGGGATCTGTTCAAACCGTCATGCCATGTTGTTTGCAAATTTCGCTCTCGTATTCGCCAAAGAAAATGTTTCCCATTTGATTCTTCGGTTGCTTCTGCCACCAGATCTTCGTATGGTACTCCATTTCTTACAGCGCAGCGTGCAACAACAAGATGATGATCGGTTGATAGCTCTGCGCTTCTTTAACACGAACATCCATTAGTGAGCGTCCTAAGTCAGACGACACGATTATCAAATCGATCATCTACTTCTGTGCACAAGCTTCCCGGTACCAGTTACACTCATATGCACCTTGATGCTCGAAGAAGGTGTTCATACTTGGGACCGGCAGCAGCTGGGTTCGATTCCCTTCGTTTTTGTCCTGTTCAGTTTTTGGGAAGGGAAGAGGGATTTGGTTGTCGTTTTTAGTTTTCTTTCGTGCTAACTGGGTAAATGAAAATTTTGTGTTTACGGATTGGAAGCAGAGTTTGCTCCCATTGAAATATCTGCTATATAAAGAACCAGTACAGCAAATTTGTTTATTTAACATCCGTTTGTGGTAGCATGCACAGTTTGTTGATATGTCCGGTCATCCACTCATTCACGTACACGATTCACTTTTCTTTTTTAGTTTTGTCAGCCAATACATTTCCGACGTCGACCAGGAGGCCAGCATGCATTCTACAACAGGGTAGATCTGTTGTAAGAAGGGATTATTTCATTCTGAAATGCAGTTATCGGTATCTTATAGCAAAAGTGTTGCGAATATAGCAGATACCACAAACCAAAGACGTTGTCTTATACAAACGGCTCAAAATAATGGTCGTACAAACCGTCTCACTTTGAGTTACTCGATGGAAATCTTCTGTAGTTTATTTGTATTCTAGTCCTCCTCTAATCAGCAAGGTTACTGGTATTGATTCTGATTCGGTGTATAGTATCTTATTCAATATATTTGAGCTGTGTGGCCTTCGATCGGTCTCTTAACCGACAGTCATGTGGCTCGGCGAGGGTAATTCCAATTCGTGCTTGCCGACTTTCGCAGTTGTTAGCGAGTTAGCGAAGGACCGGCTCACAAGCGGCGATGTGTGTGGTTTCCGGGTTCAAGCA